CCCACACCCAGCTCAACACCGGGACCTAACCTCACCTCCCACGAGTCAAAATTAGCACATTAGCGCAAAACTTTGTTTTTGATCCATCTTCGGTCTAAGGCGGCCGTTTGATTGGCCATTGCTCCTATCAATCAAAGTCGACCCGCACACATTTCCCACTACGATTGGCCTCGGCACCTTTGTCCCGCCTCCAGGCAGACACTCACTTTCACAGGTTTGGGCAAAATGGCCCCACTGCGAGTAAGGATGACTAACCTCGAGGGTACCAGGCTCTGACCTCAGCCGCCCCGTCCGGCGGAGATATCTCCATCTTTCGTCAAGCTGGGTCCTCTCTGGAGAGCCCCATATCGGACAGGCGCCAATACCAGCCAGTGAGCCGCTCCGGACGCCATCCTGGCACCCAGACCCCAGCACCTGGCCTAGTGACGCCCTCACAAAGAATGCTACCCCAAGCCTCGCGAGGCTTTCGGAGCGCACGAGAGGCCCAGCCTCACAGTCGCGCAGTGCTCCTAGTTCCCCTGCCCTCCTTTTTAAAAGAATCCTCACCCAGGGATATTTTTACCATTGAATTTTTTTAGAGAGAGTGGAAGGGAAGGAGGGAGCGGGATGAGAGAGAGAGAGAACCTCAGTGAGAGAGACACAGGGATTGGTTGCCTCCCAAATGTAACTCGACCAGGGCAGGGGGTTGAACCTGCAACCCCAGGATGCGTCCTTGACTGGGAATTGAACCTGAGACCCTTCAGGGCACAGGCCGCCACTCTAACCACCGAGCCACCGGCCAGGGCACCTTTTCTTTCTTCCCTAAAGGGAGTGTCTGGAAATGAAACATTAAGTCACAGGATGGAAACAAGCAATCTTTGCCTTTTACCTCCCTGTTACTAACAGAAAGCAGGCCTCCCTGGGCTCCCAGCCTCAGAAATCTCAGCATGGCGGCCAGAAATGCCCAGGGAACGACACTGAGTCGATGAGGCGGCCACATCAGCTGGGATTACAGTGAGATATTGGGGCGCCACTGTCCCACCAGCACAATGCTGTGCCCATGCCTTGAAGAAGTCTCCTTCCAATGGCTTTGCTAAGCAAAAGCGTAACTTGAACTGCAAAGCAATGGGCTTTGTATTTTATCAGGAAGACGAGGGAGTTGGTGTAATCTCCTGGGTGTGGACTTTGAAGGCGATCAGGCCCGGAGCACTAGGATTGAGCAGCCAGCACGCCCGGCCCTTCCCTGTTGGGCCCTTTGGGGTGTTAGGACACTGACCGCTCTGGCACTCAGGCGCCGCTCACAGAACGTGTAGCCACAGGGGATGCCGGTCAGTGTCCCTTTCATTCCACCGACACCCTCCTGAGGGGCCAAGGATCATGCGACAATAAAATCCCAAGACTGATTCTCCTGAGGCCCAGAAGGCACCCCGGAAACCGGAACCCTGGGGCTGGGGGCAGCAGCGGCCACGTGAAGATAAATGGCTCCCTGGTGACCCCACTGGGACGACAGCCTGACGGGCACCGAGGGCCAGCTGGTCTGTTGGAAGACGGGCTGCACAGAAATGGGATGATGGTGGCCTCAGGGAGGGGGCGCAGCTGACTGAAGGGCTTGGGGTGCTTCCTGAGG